TTTCAGGAGAACAGCCTTCTGCACAGGGTATATGTTTGGGACAGGGATTCTCCTGATGACTGAGACAAGTTAATGGGAAATCCTTAGATTTCCTCAGTCAAAGCCAACACCTCCAGCAGTTCACCTGGCCCTTCGTGTAGAGTGAGTCTCATGAATAAAATCTCTTGTTAATCTGTTGTATTTCCAGGCTGGAAAAGCAGACAGAGCGTCTCTAGACTGGTTTCAGATTATATGGCAAAGAAGTTTAATCTAGATCCACTGATTACCCATACTATGAAGCTTGATAAAATCAACGAAGCCGTTGAATTCATGAAAACCGGAAAATGGCAAGTTCTTCCGCTAACCTTTATGTCTGAGTGTTTGGGGCAAGGGAAAGGGGTGTGGGAGTCGGAGGCAGGGAAGGGAAGTTGTGGCTGGTGAACCACATGCAGACAAGCGAAGAAGGTTTCAGGAGTCTGTAAAGCATCTCCTCTCCCTCTTTAATTTATTCCCAGTCTATCAATGTAATCCTTAAAATATTTAAGTGTTCATCTACGCTTACCATTCGTATTTTATTTCCAAGTTGGCATTTTTTATATGACACATTAACCAATGAGTTTAGCTCGCAAAATTTTAGCTCAAGTTTGAGTTCATAGGTTATGAAGAGGCCACAGTTGTTCTATTTCCAAGGGGGAAATTATCCCTAGAATTCTAAATTCTGACACCTATCTTTGGCCCACAAACAGAACTCCAGCCATCAACTGGACACTGGCCTTCCCCACAGGGTACAGACCTGCTTACATGTTCCTCACCCTCGGAGCTGGGTGTCATTTTGAAAAAAAATCTCACACTGATTTAATCTCTCCATTTTTCACATAACATGAACAGGAGGAATCTAACTTACTTACTGGTCTACAAAGTGAAAATGTGAAATCCCAAACACAAATGTTGCTTTGGAAATGTTTCAACTTATTTTTTTCTTTCTTTTCTTTTCTTTTTCAGTATTCGCTGTGTCCTATTATTTTAAGTACAATGTAATGAACGCAAGACCTGCGGCATATTTCACCAACTAAATTGCATCCTGTATAACTTCCATGACTTAGAAGAACTATCCACACAGCGCTGTTTCTATGTTCTTGCCTCTGATGCATTCGGCAGTGGGCTCATATCTGCTTCTGCTCTCAACACCTCATCAAAGTTGGTCTTATGTCACCCAGTCCCACCCAGGAACGTCTCCCTGTTAGAGCTAGTTTAGGGTTGATTTGAATCACCCAATTCCAAACCCTTCAAACAAACAGTCACCCCAAGAGACTCCCATTTTCATAGTTGCCCCTACCTCTGGGCCCCTGTTTCTTTGCACACTATGTCTCTCAACCCCATGAAACTCCACTCATTTCACACCGAAGAAACAAAATTCACCACTCATGAGTTTATTGAACATTCAAGTTAAAGCAAGCTGATGGGGGGCAGGGGACTTTATTACATCAAAATTTAATTTATTACATTAAATCCCAGTTAAACACTAAGTACTTCATTCTCAGTATTACTCACCCCAGAGAAACTTCTACTGGTATTTCATCTTATATAACCCAGCCTCAAACCATCACTTACAATACTTCTATGGCACTCACCTCTTCTCTCGTGGATTGCCAAAGGAACTTTAAGTTCTTCTTTAATTGGCCAGGACAATTTAGCTCGCAGCAGTTTGTGTCACCTGTCTTCATAGCCAAGCCATCTAAAATTCAGCAGGAAGAAAAAGGGGCTTGAAAGAAAAGGGGCATCATTAATTACCAGGATCCATGCTCCCTAGGAGACCGCTGTGGTATTAAACAATAAAACTGGCTTTTATTCCACTCTCCAAGGGAAGAGGGGATAGTGTGTAGTTATTACTAATGTGTGTCATAGTTTCTTTCCTTCAAGAAGTAGATGAGATAAAGACAAGATCCAGCAGTGATTTGTGGCATCCAATCCCTCTCTACCCCTGCCCCTTCTCTGCCCTACTCCTTCGTAATGCTCCTAGAACCTGGGTTAAGATTGAGCCCTCGTGGAATATGACTTCTTCCCTATTCCCTAGATAGAGAGTCTCTTTCAAACCCTCTTCTCCAGCGCACACACCAGAGCTCCCTTCCTAGTTAAGGTCATTTCTGCTGCAGTTTGGGCTCCCCTAGATCTGAAGCCGCTAGATCAGACGGGGGTCCCGTGGGTCAGCAGACCTCAACAGACCTCGGGAAACCAGGAGAGGAAATGTCATGTCTTACCTAGTCCAGTCGCTTTCTGATTTAAGATCAGCCAGAAAGGTGAGCTACATCCCTAGCCTATCTCTGCAGTCACGGCTACCACAGGTGTCAAAAGGCTCTCATGAGACTCTGATTCCCACACTGAGAAGAAGCATCATGAGGTGGGCACCCTGCCTTTCCTTCAGGGTACCTGCCTCCTACAAATAGAGGGCATAGGTGCTATCAGACGTATTCTTTCTCTTCCAAACTGTGTCACCAGTGGGAGCAGGGTCTCTCCTTCAGCAGGTTCAACCCTTAGCCTCCAGCAGAACTCTTCGAGTCCTAATGAGAGAACAGACAACTAAGCAAGGAAAAATGATTAACTTCAATGCCAACTAGTAAATTTTTTTTGCATCTGACGTGCTGTTTATTCTCAACGCTTTATGCAAGCACAGTTGTGTCTAGGGCCTTTCCCCCTCCCACCTAGGAATACAAAATGGCTTGTATATTGGTTTTATTCAACCTGCTGTCTGCATTAGAATCACAGAAGGGCCTGGGTCCCAGTGGACTGCCACTGCTGGCTGCCCCCTCTCTGATCATCATAAGGAGTATTTTAACAAAGACAGAGGGTTCAGAATAGGGCATGCCCTACCAGGGATGCCTCTGCCGACAAGGACATGGCACTCTTTTCCTCCATCTCGCCAAGTCTGACAGGACGCCCAACTCTGCTCTGCTCTGCTCTGCTCTGTGCCTCTATTCCCTGAGGGCAGCTCAGCATGCCCCTGCCCTGTCGTGGGAATTAACCTTACTGACACTGAGAACTTGGAGAAGTCTTCAGGTCTTGGGGGGGTCTGAGTCTGCCCAAAAATGTTTTGCTGTCAACAGCACCTACATTCTACCCCAATAAAGCCCACTTCTTTAAGCTGCTTCAAATGTCTCTTTTAAGTTGTAGCGCATTGCAAAACTCTGTATCCAGTCACAAATGCAGACTTTTTCTCCTTTCTGTTGATACATGGCCAGAAATATTACACGAGTTCAGGTGACGACCCACATCGTTGTATACCCATCCACTGTCGCTGTTGGCCACAGAGGGAAAGAATTCATGAAAATATTAAAAAGGCTATAAAAATTAAATGTTACACAGAAATTTTTTTTAAATTATTTGTTATAAATGAAACCACTAACAACTTGCAAAAAAACAGTTTTAATTAAAAGATAGAAATGAAAAAAGAAGTTAAGAAGTGAAACGTGGGAGTGAGAAAGTAGAAGCAAAGAGTATAAATTATACTTCCAAACAGTATACTAGAAAAATTTAATTCTTCTGCAATAAAATATCACTTAAAGTCTGGAAGAGATAGTGGAATACTATGGGATTAAAAAGAAATGGTATAAAGAAAAACACGCTGACAGAGATGGCAAAATACATTGTCAAACTTTTAAAAATACGTACAACAAAGAACACTTGCAAATACTAATATCAAGCCTCAAAGTATGTAAAGCAAAAAGTAGGAAAAGGCCCTGGCTGGTGTGGCTCCGTGGTTAGAGCTTCGACCAGCACACAAAAGGGTCATGAGTTTGATTCACAGTCAAGGGCACAGACCTAGGTTGCAGGTTTGATCCCCGGACTCAGACGGAGTGAATTAAGGAGGCAACCAATCGATGTGTCTCTCTCACATTGATGTCCCTCCCCTCCTTCTTCCACTCTTTCTAAAAATCAATGGGAAAAATAGCTTCAGTGACTGTAAGAAATGAACAAATTCATAATAATTATTTTTAAATATCTCTCGTAGTTAATAGAACAAGCAGACCAAAAATCAATATGAGCTGGCTCCAGTACACCACCGGTGCTTATTCTCATTAATGATCACAGAACTACAAATTAAAAACAATTACTTATCAATCCACGCCCACAGATTATCAAAAATTATAAAGTCCAGCAATTCCAAGCATAGGCAAGGTTGTGGCCCAGTGAAAACTCTGATACATCCTTGCTGGTAAGGAAAGCCATATTGTAAAAACACTTCGGCCTTCTCTATCAAAGTTGAAGACACAGTAATTCCACACCTACTCAAAATACTTAACAACCACTATGAGACACTCCATTTCCCACAAACAGCCAAGCAAGTGTGATTCCAGGGGAGCTCTGGCCCACTGCATCGGTGGTCACAGCTCCATAAGGTCAGATGGGGCACCAGGTACTTGCCTACAGGCATCCAGGGACTACTCTACTGAGCACAGCCAGACTCCCAGAGACCCAAAACCATCAGGTTGGCATCACCATAATAGTGTGTACTGTTTGCATATTAGTCCTGAATTTTCCTTAAGGAAACTTTTTTATGCAATCATTAATTCATCATAAGAAAGAAAGGGGAAAGGAAAATAAATGATAATGAAAATAAACAGCTACAAGCAATGTGGGGGATTTCTCAAAAACATGGGATTGAGAGAAGACATGAAAGAATACAAACACTAAGATTTCATTCATATTAAGTTTTTCATGAGTAAAACTAAACAATACTTACAGAGAAGCATAAATCAAAAAGAAATGCAAGGAAATAATTATTAGGGTGGTGAAGGAAAAGGGTGAGTACAGGAAGGATTCTGGAGCAATGGAAATGCCCTTTATAATTTGTGTTAACTCACCTGTACATGTAATAAACTTTTATCTATGATTTTATATTTTGCAATAAAAGGGGGAAAAAACAAATAAACAAAATCTCCTCCAAATAATGGCTGGGAGCAAAGGCTGTTTGCAGTTGAAATACGATAGCACAAATGACGTGATAAAATACGGGCTGAGATGTGGATCACAGCAACAAAAAGGGAAAGTGATTGGAGAATAAAAAAGCAGGGATGGTATTTATTCAATGGCAGTTCAATCCAGGTTACAGAGAGAGCATCCTGGACAGAAGTGGAACTTCTTAAATCAGAGAGAAGCTTCCAAGGCGAGTTTCCCAAAGAAAAATGGGCACCAAGGGCAAAGTAAGCAAATGTACTGTTTCTTCGTTCAATTCTTCTTTTTTGTATACTAGTACTTTTGCTAAAAAGCTTCCATTTAAGTTAACCTCAGAATGCATTCATTTAAAGTTGATCAAAAGCACCCCGTCATGCTAGAAAATTACGCTAATGAAATTACTGTAGACTGGCCATAATGCTTACAACAGGCTGTCAAATTAAATATTTTTATTTGTCAAAAGAAGAGAGAGATTTGGGTAACTATAACCATAAAATAGAATTTGCATTTGTTAAAAGTGGTGTTAGAGAAGAATATGGAAAACATTCATAGTATACTAATAAGTAGAAAAAGTAGATTAAAAATATCACATACAGCCGAAACCGGTTTGGCTCAGTGGATGGAGCGTCGGCCTGCGGACTGAAAGGTCCCAGGTTCGATTCCGGTCAAGGGCATGTACCTGGGTTGCGGGCACATCCCCAGTAGGAGATGTGCAGGAGGCAGCTGATCGATGTTTCTCTCTCATCGATGTTTCTAACTCTCTATCCCTCTCCCTTCCTCTCTGTAAAAAATCAATAAAATATATTAAAAAAAAATATATCACATACAATAAGATCCCATTTGGGGATAATTCAAAGGATTTACCTCACAAAATTACAGGTGGATTTTATTCCTTTTCTTCTTGTTTGTATTTTGAAACTTCCCATAATTAACATTTATTGCACCTGTAAATAACATTAATTATATTTTTAAAAATAATTCAAAATTACATAACTGTCAAAAATATGTATTCATGTTGTCAAAGACTAGGAAAATCACATCAAAAGCAAAAATACTGTAGTAGTATTAGAATGGAGAATTATAGGTTTGTTTCTTTCTACTTTCTTTCAATGTTACTCATATTTAAAACTAAAAATACAATATTAAGAGGCAAGCCCAGCTGGTATGGCTCACTGGTTGAGTGTTGACCTATGAACCAAGAGGTCACAGTTCTATTCCCTGGTCAGGTCACATGCCCAGTAGCAGGCTCAATCCCCAGTAGGAGGAGTGCAGGAGACATCCAATCAATTATTCTCTCTCATCATTGATGTTTCTATGTCTCTCTCCCTCTCCTATCCTCTCTGAAATCAACAAAAATATTTTAAGAGGCTAAATAAAATTTTAATGATAGAATCCTGCTTAATTTATAAAATAAGTTTATATAATATTATTTAATTTATTTTATACATTTTTACCCAAAATTCTTTCAGTGACCAAATTTTTATTTAATATTTATTTATTCTACTGATAAATTTACTCATTATTTAAGCATCACTTCTCAAACTTTTATGTGCATATGAATCACCTGGATCTTGTTGAAATGCAGATTTTGATTTAGGGGATTTGGGACAGGTCTTGTTGCTCTAACAAGTTCCCTGGTGTTGTCAATAACTTCTGGTCCAAGGGGGGATCATACAATGAGTAGCAAACATGTAAAATCACATTTATGTTCTAGCAATGAGGACTTAGGTAATTCAGATCTGATAACAAATTGTTCAGTCAACAAATACTTATTGGCCAAACCCTATGAATTTATCCCCTCTGCTACTGAAGCGGGGGAAGGTCAAGGCATTATATTAAGGTAAACTTTAATGCACCTGTTTTTCTCAAAAATTAAAAAGGCACCCAGGCCAGTGTGGCTCAGGTGCTTGAGCATTATCCCTTGCTCCAAAGGGTTGCCTGTTCCATTCCTGAAGAAAGGCCTGTGGAAGGCAGTTGATCACTCTCAGATCGATGGTTCTCTCCATTCCTCTCTCTAAATAATCAATAAACTAGTCTTTAAAAAAGAATAAAAGTGCAATGACTGTAATGTAGATCATGATTTCTTATTTTCAATAATCCCCTTTTCTATAAAATAATATAATTATATAAAACATCCAGCCACAAGTTATGGTATAATATGCTTTTTATTTTTCCCCCCATAATTACCTTCTCCCTCCCAATCCCCCGCCCAAACTTCTCCCTCTCTTCCCTCCCTCCCTATGTCCCTCTCTCTCTCCCAGGTTATTAAATGCAAAGCAGCCATCGCCTGGGAAGCAAACAAGCCCCTTTGCATAGAAGAGGTTGAGGTAGCTCCCCCCAAGGCACATGAAGTTCGAATTCAGGTGAGTGGGGACTCTCCCTGGCGGGACACACTGGGCACTGACTAGGTGCAGACGTGGCTCTGTCAGCTCACGCCTGTGTGATGTGACTGGGAAGCCCTGCAGTTCTCAGTGTGGGCGATTGTATCTTTAGGTTCAGATACAAACAGGCCTTATCTCCAGAGGGGGTAAATCATTCGTTATTTATCAGTAGCCATTGATAATGGGCTTAAAATTTAACTAAAGCACCTTAACATTAATCATTAACCTTAAGAATCAGATTAAGGAATTCCCATTGGATTACAATTAGTTATATCTTCTTTTAGTTTTCCACTTGCCAATTATTAAAAGGGAGATAGAGAATTTGGTTCAAAACAAGGAAAAAAAAAAACAAGGGAGAGGAAAACCTGAAGAGCTGCTGTAGGCAGCACAGGGTCTTGGGTGCAGATGAAGGGAAGGCAGTGGGTGAGCAGGGAGAAGAGCCCATGCTGAGTGGGCAGATCATCAGCAGCAAGTTGGGGTCATGTCTCCATTTCCCCAGAGCTGGCTGCCCAGGCTATGTTTTCCCTCCAACCACCACAGGAAGGGCTTATACATGAGGATGAATGGGATACCCTCATGAGCAGAATCTTGAAGAAGAATATAGAGATACAGCAGTAATTAATTTAGACAATCTTTTACTTGATCTCTCACTTTTAACTATAAAAGTTTTATTACCTCTATTTCGTGTTATTTCAACAAAATTTGAACAAGACCTAGAAACCTGTGTTCTCTCCATTCCTCTGCCTGTTAGACTTTGTTTAAATTTTCCCTATTGCCTTTGATTTCTCCTCTCCTGGAGACAGTAACTGCCAATTTTATCTCTTTTTATGATTTTCCAATGACAGTAAAAGGCAGAAAAGTAAGGTATAAAAGGAAAAGAATATATGCTAATAAATCTTAATTTATGTGTGTTTTTTTAAGTATTATGTTTTTATTGAGCTCTAAGAGTGTTGTAAAGTCTCAGGGTGAAAATGAAATTATCCTAAAATTACCCACTTAACAACCCCAATAATGTAATTACAGAAATAACTCAAGTATGCGGTTGCTTTGTAGATAATCGCCACTGCCTTGTGCCATACCGATGCCCATATTCTCCATCCTAAATTTACGAAGGCTCTGTTCCCAGTGATCCTTGGCCATGAGGGGGCAGGAATTGTGGAAAGTGTTGGGCCAGGAGTGACCAATTGCAAGCCAGGTATTGTATTTTCTCATTCCAATAAGTGAGAATGTCAGGATATTTCAAGGATAATCCCTGATAGATTCCTGGCTTTGCATGCTATATTGATCTCTGTTTCCATAAGGGACCATCTTTTCCAAAGCAAAAGTGAGAAACACAATCTATCAAAGGGAAGGCAGTGGGTGAGCAGGGAGAAGAGCCCATGCTGAGTGGGCAGATCATCAGCAGCAAGTTGGGGTCATGTCTCCATTTCCCCAGAGCTGGCTGCCCAGGCTATGTTTTCCCTCCAATCACCACAGGAAGGGCTTATACATGAGGATGAATGGGATACCCTCATGAGCAGAATCTTGAAGAAGAATATAGAGATACAGCAGTAATTAATTTAGACAATCTTTTACTTGATCTCTCACTTTTAACTATAAAAGTTTTATTACCTCTATTTCGTGTTATTTCAACAAAATTTGAACAAGACCTAGAAACCTGTGTTCTCTCCATTCCTCTGCCTGTTAGACTTTGTTTAAATTTTCCCTATTGCCTTTGATTTCTCCTCTCCTGGAGACAGTAACTGCCAATTTTATCTCTTTTTATGATTTTCCAATGACAGTAAAAGGCAGAAAAGTAAGGTATAAAAGGAAAAGAATATATGCTAATAAATCTTAATTTATGTGTGTTTTTTTAAGTATTATGTTTTTATTGAGCTCTAAGAGTGTTGTAAAGTCTCAGGGTGAAAATGAAATTATCCTAAAATTACCCACTTAACAACCCCAATAATGTAATTACAGAAATAACTCAAGTATGCGGTTGCTTTGTAGATAATCGCCACTGCCTTGTGCCATACCGATGCCCATATTCTCCATCCTAAATTTACGAAGGCTCTGTTCCCAGTGATCCTTGGCCATGAGGGGGCAGGAATTGTGGAAAGTGTTGGGCCAGGAGTGACCAATTGCAAGCCAGGTATTGTATTTTCTCATTCCAATAAGTGAGAATGTCAGGATATTTCAAGGATAATCCCTGATAGATTCCTGGCTTTGCATGCTATATTGATCTCTGTTTCCATAAGGGACCATCTTTTCCAAAGCAAAAGTGAGAAACACAATCTATCACAGTCTAACAATGAGACAGAATACTTGAATCAGAATTGTCTGGTAAAATCTGGGGGAGATGGTCACTTTATTTACATACTAGTAGAGCACTGAGAAACTGTGCTATGAAGCTAAGCTACAAAGTTAGATTAAACTGAAGCTTCCATGGACACATAAATGACAACTTGTAACAACCTCCTCTAAATAAAGCAAAAAACTAATTTAATATTATAAAGAATTTGAAGAATGGGGTAGCTCATTCTGTAAGTAGCTTAAGTGAGAAATATTACACATATGCCAATGTTAGCCTAAGTTAGTCTTTCTGGAAGTTTGAAAGATTAAAATGACAAGCAAATGAAACATGCCAATGACTGAAATTATTTACTGCATATTTCATAACAGATATTCCACCAAATGCTGGAATAAGGGCTCTGTAATCCTCCCTTGTCAGACAGGATGACCATTTCACTCTTCCTTCCTTTAATAAGGATGCTCCAAACCCTGAGGTATACGTATTAGTATCTTTCCATTCCAAACAAGATCATAAAAACCAACTGCTCCTCAAAGTTTTGCATCCATGAAGGAGTCTGATCAATGTAGTCTCAGCTCTGCCACCTGCTGGCTCTGTGACCTTAGCCAGTTAAATCATTTATCTGTGACTCAGATTTCTGTTTCTAAAGTGGGGACAATAATACTACCCTTCTCAAAGGGTTGTTCTGAGAGTTAGCTGAGACAATATAAGAACAAATGTTAATTATTATTGGACCTTGGTCATCAGAGGATAGAAGCCATTTTTAAATCAAAATTGAATAAAAAGTAGAAGATGTGGAACTTGACAGTAAAACAAATGGTGAAACACAGTGGTGATGGTTTAATGTATACTCTCCATATCTAGTCTGTCACTGTCCACCTCTCCTGTTATATGAGGATGTCCTATTCCACATGGGGGGTTAGAAATATAATAAATAATAGTCATGATGGAGAGAGCTTCAAGGACAGCAGGTAGGACTCTTCACCTGATGGTATCAGTACAGACTTGTTGCTTGACTGCCCAGCAGGGAAAAATGAAAAAGTATAGGTAATACAAGGGGAAGTCAGCAATCTTATAGAGTAATAAAATGTTTTGCCACCTATACTCTGCTGAACATAACATGTATACCCTAAGGAATGGTGTTTTCCACTGATTCATCTGGTAGAAATTATTTACAGGTAACATTTACAAGTAACGTTTATAGGCATCCAACATATGGCCTTTCTTTCTAGGTGACAAAGTGATTCCTCTCTACATGCCTCAATGTAAAAAATGCAAGTTCTGTTTGAGTCCACTCACAAATTTCTGTGCAAAGCTCAGGTAAGCTCTACACACGGTTAGTGAGAGTATACATTGGTACCAATATTTTGGGCAGTACATTGGCAAAACATAAATGGAGTTGAAGGTGTGCATATTTCTACCCACCAATTCTACTCAGGTGAGTGCAAGGAACTGTTGCAAAATCACCCAGGGAGATGTGTGCTAGAATGTTCATTGCAACATTGTTTATTACAGCAAACTATTCAAAAGAGCACAAATATCCTTCAATAAGAGAATAGGTTAACACAGCGATTTTCAACCTTTTTCATCTCATGGCAATAATCAAAAAACTCCCAGCAAGCAAAAGCCCTGGCCCAGATGACCTCACAGGGAAATTTTACCAAATATTCAAGGTAGAACTAATGCCTATCCTCCTCAAATTATCAAAGAGGAATGAACACTTTCAAGCTCTCTTTACAAGGCCAGTATTATCCTAATTTCAAAAACAGATACAAAGAAAGAGAATTATAGGCCAATATCTCTGATGAACATAGATGCTAAAATCCTCAACAAAATAATAGCAAATAGGATCCAGCAATATATTAAAAAGATATGTATCATGACCAATTGGGATTTTTTTTAAAGCTTTTATTTTTATTTATTTATTTTTAAAATATATTTTATTGATTTTTTACAGAGAGGAGGGGAGAGGGATAGAGAGTTAGAAACATCGGTGAGAGAGAAACATTGATCAGCTGCCTCTTGCACGCCCCCTACTGGGGATGTGCCCGCAACCAAGGTACATGCCCTTGACCGGAATCGAACCTGGGATCCTTGAGTCCGCAGGCCGACGCTCTATCCGCTGAGCCATACCGGTTAGGGCACCAATTGGGGTTTTTCCAAACATGCAAAGCTAGTAAAATATTCACAAATCAATAAATGTGATGCATCACATAAGCAAATTGAAAGACAAAAAAAAAATCACATGATTATATCAATAGTTGCAGAAAAAGCAGTCAACAAAATCCAACATCCACTTTTTATAAAAATTCTCAGCAAAAGGGAATAGAGAGATCATATCTCAACATAATAGAGGCCATATATAACAAACCTACAGCCAACATCATACTCAATGTGCAAAAATTAAAAGCATTTTTCCCAAAACAGGAACAAGACAGAAACATTCTTATTCAACACAGTACTGGAAGTCCAAGAAGGAAAAATAAAAGGCATCCAAATAAAAAGAAAGAAGTAAAACTATCATTATTTGCAGACTAGAGGCCTGGTGCACGAAATTTGTACACTGGAGGTGGGGGGGACGGGAGTGGGGGGTTCCCTCAGACTGGCCTGCACGCAACCTCTTGCAATCCAGGAGCCCTCGGGGGAGTCCAACTGAAGGCTTAGGCCTGCTCCCTGGTGAGCGGGCCTAAACCGTCAGTCGGATATCCTTAGCACTACCGCGGAGGCAGGAGAGGCTCCCACCACCACAGCTGTGCTTGCCAGCTGTGAGCCCGGCTTTTGGCTGAGCACACTGACCACGTTGGGGGGGAGGGGGGGAACAGCAGCTCCTGCATTGAGCATCTGCCCCCTAGTGGTCAGCTCCATTTGGTTGGTTTGCATATTAGCCTTTTATCATATAGGATGACATGATGTTGTACATAGACAACCCTAAAGACTCCACTATGAAATTACTAGATTTAATAAATGAATTCAGCAATGTAGCAGGATACAAAATTAACACCCAGAAATCAATGGTATTTTTATACACAAATATGAACTCTCAGGAAAAGAAACTAAAAAAAAAAATCCCATTTACTTTTGCAACAAAAAAATTAAGATACTTAGGTATAAACTTAACCAAGGAGGTAAAAGATCTGTACTCAAAAAACTACAGGATGTTGAAGGAAGATATAAACAAGTGGAAGTACATACCATGTTCATCAATTGGTATAACTGACATCATTAAAATGCCCATAGTACCCAAAGTAACCTATAAATTCAATGCAATCTTTATTAAAATACCATTGGCATATTTCACAGATCTATAAAAAAATAATTCAAAAATTTATATGGAACTAAAAAAGACCCCGAATAGCCACAGCAATCTCGAGAAAGAAAAACAAAGTTGGAGGGATCACAATACCAGCTATCAAGTTATACTACAAAGCCACCATAATAAAAACAACCTGGTTCTGGCACAAGAACATACAGATCAATGGAACAGAATGGAAAACCCAGAAATTGACCCAAGCTATTATGTTCAATTAATATTTGACAAAGGAGGCAAGAGCATACAATGCAGTAAAAACAGTCTCTTTAATAAATGATGTTAGGAAAACTGGACAGGTACTTGCAAAAAAATGAAACTAGACCACCAACTTACACCATACACAAAAATAAACTCAAAATGGATAAAGGACTTAAATGTAAGACGGGAAGCCATAAAAATCTTAGAAGAAAACATAGGCAGCAAAATCTCAGACATCTCATGGAGTAGGATTTTCACCGATACATTGCCAAGGTCCAGAGAAATGAAGGAAAAAATAAACAAATGGGACTATATCAAACTAAAAAGCTTCTGCACAGCAAAAGAAACTAGATTCAAAATGCAAAGGGAACCCACTGTATGGGAGAATATATTTGCCAATGATACATCAGATAGGGGTTACTTCCCAAAATATATAATGTACTCATATAACTCAACAAAACACAAACAATCCAATTTAAAAATGGTCAGAGGATCCAAATAGACACTTCTCCAAACAGGGCATACAAATGGCCAAAAGACATCTTAAAAAATGCTCAGCATCACTAATCTTAGAGAGATGCAACTTAAAACAATGAGGTAGAACCTCACACCTGCCAGAATGGCTAACATCAACAAATCAACATATAAGTGCTGTCAAGGATGTGGAGAAAAGGAAACCCTAGTACACTGCTGGTGGAAATGCCGGCTGATCGATGTTTCTCTCTCATCGATGTTTCTGACTCTCTATCTCTCTCCCTTCCTCTCTGTAAAAAAACCAATAAAATATATTTTAAAAAAAAATAAATAAAAATAGAATTTCCATTTGACCCAGGGATCCCATGTCTAGGAATATATCCTAAGAATCCCAAAACACCAATCAGAAAGAATATATGCACCCCTATGTTCATAGCAGCATTATTTACAGTAGCTAAGATCTGGAATCAACCCAAGTGCCCATCAGTAGATGAGTGGATAAAAAAGCTGTGGTACATTTACAAAATTAAATACTATGCAGCTGTAAAAAAAAAAAAGGATCTCTTGCCCTTTGAGACAGCATCCAGGGACCTGGAGAGTATTATGCTAAGTGAAATAAGCCAGACAGAGAAAAACAAGTATCACAGCATCTCACTTACATGTGGAATCTAATGAACACAATAAACTGGTGAATAAAATAGAACCAGAGGCATGGAAACAGAACAGATTGATGAATCTCAGAGAGAATGGGGTTGGGGGGGAGGTAAGAAATTAATCAAAGAATTTATATGCATATATGCATTGTCCATGAACCCAGATAATAGCATGGTAAAAGCCTGGAGGTGGGGTGGGAACCCAGTGGTAGGGGGCAACGGGGATAAAAGGGCGTACATTTGTAATACTCTCAACAATAAGAATTAAAAAATAAATAAAATTTTTAAATTTATTGTTATCATTACTATCTTTAGATGACCCCTGACTATTATATCATATTATATTATGTATTATAATATGCATATTATTTATATTATATTTGATATATTATTTACACTCAGTGGCCAGATTATTATGACCACCTGACGTTTGTAGGCAAATTAGCTATAATTTCCTGCTGAAGTTGCTAGAGGGCCAGATCATTATAAACATCTGAATAGCACAACATACCTAAGTATCATTGCTGATCAA